CGGGATGATGAGTTGAGAAAGAGAATCCTTACAAAGGCTCACGACACACCGTACACTGCTCATCATGGAGCAACCAAGATGTATCAAGATTTAAAGAAAGGATATTGGTGGCCAAGTATGAAGAAAGATATTGTCGAGTTTGTAGCTAAATACTTGACTTGTCAGCAAGTGAAAGCAGAACACCAAAGGCCATCAAGGTTGCTTCAGCCATTTAGTATTCCTAAATGGAAATGGGAGAGTATTTCGATGGATTTTATTACAGGTCTCCCTAGAGTGCAGAAAGGAGACAATGCTATATGGGTGAAAATAGACAGATTAACTAAATCAACCCATTTTCTTCCAGTAAAGGAAAGTACCACTTCGGATCAATTGGCTCAGATGTATATTAAGGAGATAGTGAGACTTCATGGTGTACCCAAGACAATAGTATCAGACAGAGATTCCAGATTTGTCTCAACTTTCTAAATGAGTTTGCAGATGAACTTGGGTACCCGATTGGCCTTTAGTACTGCCTATCATCCTCAGATAGATGGCCAGACAGAGAGAACAAATTAAGTGCTTGAGGACAATTGAGAGTATGCTATATGGATTATAAAGTATCCTGGCATGAGATGTTACCCTTGGTGGAGTTTGCTTACAATAACAGCTACCAGTCTACAATTAAGATGGCTCCTTATGAGGCTTTGTATGGTAGACGATGTAGATCTCCGCTGCATTGGGATGAGATGGGTAAGAGAGATGAGTTGAATATAGCTCTTGGGCCAGAAATGACTTAGAAAAATGATAGAAGATGTAAAGTTGATCAGAAGCAGAATAAACAAGCCCAAGACAGGCAGAAAAGTTATGTTGATCTAAAGAAAAAAAGTTTAGTTTGAAGTGGGTGACAAAGTTTTTCTAAAAGTTTCCCCTTACAAACGGGTGATGTGGTCGTAATAAAGGAAAGTTGCACCGAGATTCATTAGTCCATTGGGGTGTTACACGAGTAGGAAAAGTGGCCTACAGATTAGCACTACCCCCCAGTATGGATAAAGTTCACAATGTATTTCATGTCTCGATGCTTCGGAAGTATGTAAGTGATTTCTCCATATTTGAGCATAGAAGATGTAGACTTGGAAGAGAATCTTGGTATGAGAAGCATCCAGTGCAGATTTTGGACAGACAAATTAAAGAGCTCCGGAACAAGAGTATCCCTTTAGTGAAAGTCTCTAGAGAAATCATAAAGTTGAAGAAGCTATAGGGAGACAGAGCAAGACATGCAGAATCGTTACCCGGAGTTGTTCGCTTGAATTTCGGGGACGAAATTCTTTAAGGGGGGGAGAATTGTAATGCCAGCATGGAGGTACATGATTTAATCTATGTTTTTATAGTCCTTAGTTAATTTTTGTTAAAGTGATTTTAAAGAATATGAAGAAAATGCCTTAAACTTGCATTAAGGGTAAAATGGTCTTTTCACTAAAAAAGTTGAAAAAGTGGGGAGTGAAAAGAGATAGAATTTCATAGAGAATGCATTAAAAATTAGGGCATTATGGTAATTGACTAAGGGACATGGATGGAATTCTAAGAAAGATAAGGGCAAAATGGGAAAGTGTGTTATAAACTAAATTGTTAAGGGTTTGAAACCCTTATTTTCTTCATTCCACCACACTCCTCCCCCTTTTCTCAAATTTTCATTCAATCCTCCAAGGTTTGAAGGCTTTTGAGTGGTTTTCCTAGGGTTTGATTTAGGCGTCAAGAGGTAAGGATTTGCTTTATCTATGTTTTATTTGTGTAAAAGTTGAGTTCTTATGGAGTTTATGCTTAGGGTTAAGAGAAGATTTGAAGCCAACAAGAGTAGAGAGCTTAGTAGAGACTACTCAAGCATAAGGTAAGTAAATTCCACTCAAAATCCAACTCAAGTTAAAGTTAAGAAAATCAAGTGAGTAGAGATTTCTTTAAAAATGCATATGTTATGATTATTGAGAAATTGAGATGAGATGGATGATTAGTTATGCTTGTTGTTGGATACACTTGAATATGAGGAGTGTATGTGATGGTTTGATGAGGTTGAAATCGGAGAATTGGAGAAACTTTTGGGAGTGTTTTTGCAGTGTAGGTATGGTGATGTTACAAGAGAGTTTTTCTCTCACTTTGGATGGTTTAAGAAACAAATAGAATGTAATACATTAGGGTTTGTTTATGCCAAGTATGTTTGATGAAATGCCTGAGAGAAGTATGAGTTGAGTAGAAACCTTAATTTTATGCAACATTGCATATGTGCATTTCATAAGTGCATTTAAGTAAGAAATTTAAGCATGAGTCACATATGCATTAATTGTGCATGTGTAGAAACTTAAGAAAGAAAAAGAAAGAAAGAATAAAACATTCTAAGAATAAAGAGAAAGAAAAATAAGCATTAAAGAATTAAAGATAGAAAAGAATAGGTTGGTGTGATGGGGAACCGTGAGTGTTAAGAAGAAATTCCCACATACACGTCACCTTAATTGAGTGGCATAAGAAGAAGAAGAATTGTACGACCCGTAAGAGTGTATGTGGATGGGGTTGTATCGAGAAGAATTCCTACATGCACGTCACCTTAATTGAGTGGCCTAAGAAGAAAGAAGAATTTGTACGGTCTGCAAGAGTGATGTAGATGAGGACTGTACTCACTCACACGGCAAGGTTCGAATCCATACATCAACCAGTCCGATCAGCAAAGAATAAGAAAAGAAAAGAATAAGAAAAGAAAGAATAGAAAGAATGAGAAAGCTTGAACAAGCAAAGAAAAGAGAAGCTTGGGCAAGCAAGACAAGAAGAGAAAAGAAAAGCATAGAAAGAAAAGAAAAAATGAAATAAAAGAATATAAAGAAATAGAAAGAAGAAATAAAATGCGTTTTTATGCATTTCATTTATGCATATTCCCATGAATTTTATATGGTTAGAAAGAATAGAGAGGAGCAAGAAGAGAAAGAATAGAAAGAGTAAGAATAAAGGAATTGAAAAGGAGAAAAAAAACAGTGAGAATTAGAAACAGAGAAAGAAAGAAGAGAGAATTAGTAAGGAAAGAATCAAAGAAGAAGAAAGTTAAGGGATTTACTTACTGAGCATTTTTATGCTCACCCCATTGTTTTTCCATGTTATTGCAGGAAATAGGTGAGCAGCAGTCGGAAGGACGTCGACAAGCGGAGAGAATTGGCATTACTGTCCACCGTTGCTAAGTTTTTGTACTTGTTATTTTGATACATATAAAGAATTATATTTTTGTATGTAAGAAAAAATTTGGGCCCAACTATTTTCATATCCTAATTATGTATGTTTTCATAGTATATGTTATAAAATATACTATTAGAAAGAAGTCATTACAAAACCCAATTGGTGTGGATTCAGAATTTTTTTCAGGAACTTGGTTTACAAATAAATAGGACTCTTGTGCTCTGGTGTGATAACATGAGTGCAAGGGCACTTTCTTCTAATCCTGTCTTCTATGTGAGGACAAAACATATTGAAATTAATGTCCATTATGTGAGGGAATATACTATTAGAAAGAGGTTATCTGTATAGTATGTGGCCTTTGAATATCAAATTGTTGACGCTCTTACAAAAGCTCTTCCTGCTCATAGATTTCAGTTTCTTCATGATAAGTTGAATGTATTTCCTACTGTAGAAAATATGTTGAAAAAGGATGTGTCAAGTTGTTCTATTGAATCTGAAGAATAGTGCAAATGCTGCCATGATCTGATGGTAGTAGACTTCTGTAATTTTGGCAGCAGGTTATTATATTCTAGAAGCCTTTCAATCAGGCCTTGGAAGTAGTTTCATTGCTGGTAAGTAAAAGAGGTATTGGTGAAGTGACAGACTTGAATAGTAGTCTTGTTTAAAGGGAGATATTGTGATGAGTGAAGTAGCTTAGTAGAGACCTAAGAAGTAGTCTTGTTTAAGGGGAGATGTTGTGATGAGTGAGACTTAGTAGTCTTGTTTAAGGGGAGATATTATGATGAGTGAAGTAGCTTACGTGAAAACAGTTTGTTTAAAGTCTTGTATTCAACCAATTGATATGCAACGTTTTAGGACAAATGTGAAAACACTGCGTTTTGTAAAGGAGGTCACTATATATTAGTTGACCTCCTGGAAAGAGTAAAGCAGATTTATCGTCCATAAGTCATTATATAATTTTTATTTGCATGTGCAGGTTAAATGGTTAATTTTACTATATTTCTACTCCGATATTGACTTGTTCAAATATCTAGCAGAAGTGATTAAATATAAGTAATTACCTTACATTAAACTGAATTACAATATATGTAATATTTCACCAAGCCAGTGAAAAGAAAATACACGGAATATTTAGAATCTATATATTAATATAATGTTGAAGCAGATTGCTTCTTCTGATGCCACGTAGGATTGATATATGATCGCCATGTAGGATGTTGTTAATTGGTCCACGTGTTTGTTGTTTATTGGGCTTGCTATAATAGTCATGGTTTCAATTACCAATAATAATTTCTCAAAATAATATTTTAAAGATATTCACTAAATGTAACTATTTATCACAATCTCTTAACTATTGATATTCTACATATGTATATTTAATCTAAACATGATAATATTCATTAAGCCTTCAGTTATCACAACAATTTAGTGGAAACTATGCACTAAATATGTTCAATAAATGTAACTATTCATGAGAAACAATGTCTTGCTATTCTGTCTTTTCGCATTTTGTTATTCCTAATATTTAAAATATATTCACTAAATCTAACTATTTATCACAATCTCTTAACTATTGACATTCTACATATGTACATGCATTTAATATGAACATGATAATATTCATCAACCCTTCAGTTATCACATCAATTTAGTGGAAACTATGCACTAAATATGTTAAATAAATGTAACTACTTACGAGAAACAATCTCTTGATATTCTACATTTTCACATTTTGTTGTTCCTATATAAACATAACAAAATACAATTTGAAATATCACACGTCTTTGGATTAATATCTTTGCAGGATAGTTATGACAGTTTCGAATATTTTGTTTAAAGATATTAATCAATTGCGAGATGATTGGATATTGATTGTTAGGGTTTCTAGATTGTGGAAATGTTTTAATTTCAGAAGGGACAACGAGTTGATTAGTCTTGATATGATTCTTATTGATGAAGAGGTATTATATATTTTTGTTAAATTATATAATTTTACCAACATTGAAATTGTGTAAGTTCGTTAACCTTTTTTATTTGTAATTATTTTACAGCATGATGTGATGCATGGCACTATACCAAAAAATAGAGTTGTAAAATTTAAGAACCAAATTCGTGAAGGCCATATATATCTGATTAAAAATGGGAAGTTTATACCATGTGCTGCTACTTACAAGCCTGTTGAAGGTGCTTATTGTTTACAATTTCTCATGAATACTTCCATCGAGGAGATCAAGGAAGTAACAGTTGCTATTCCAGAGTTTAAATTTCAATTTGCTGGTGTCAATGATCTGCAAAATAGAAAAAATGACACATCTTTGTTATTAGGTAAACCTTTTATTACTATTCATGTTGTACATCTATATTATCTACTATAATTCTAAATACAGTAAATGGTTTACAGATGTTATAGGTATTTTGAATGGAGTAGGTGAGATCGAAAAAATCGTATCAACAAACAGTTATAAACGAGATATCATTTTGCAAATTGAACAGTAAGTTCTTTTCTGAATATCATAATAATGTGGTATGATTTGATTATCTTACATCGATGTTATTTTCAGGGAGACATTTAGAGTTTCATTATGGGAAGAAATTTCAAAAAAAATTGATGAGAGCTTGCTAATGGGAGATGACAAATCAGTTGTCATAATGATCACATCAACAAACGTTAAAGAGTTTCAAGGTATTTTACGCTTTTGATATTGGATAGAAATTTATAGTTTAATAATTTGTGATTTTAAATGTACAGGTAAGATATATCTTAATAGCACTTCGGGATCAAGAATCTATATCAATCTAGAAATTGACGAGGTCCATCTTTTGCAGAGAAAGTACGTGTTTTAGCAGCCTTTTCTGCAAATATTTTAAGAAATAATTATACAATTTATGTCTCATTTGCTGTACGATTTGCAGTAATGAAAATATTCCAGTTGTTAAATTGCAAAAGAGAAAGCTAAATGAGATATCGGTTGAGGAGGAGATGTTCAAAATAGAGTATCTTTGAAATATCTTACCAGCCTTATGTGGTATAACTGGGATCGGATTGCAGAATATACAATAAAGGCAAAAATAATTGGAGTCAATGGCAGATTTGGTTAGTGTTACTTATCTTGCAGTGTTTGTAAGAAGAAAATTCATAATATGAACAATAGCAATTTCTATTGTGTTAAATGCAACAAGGAGATAAAATTTCCACAAATGAGGTGAATCAGTTTTTTATTGAAAATTAAATAATTGTTGTAAGACAATGCATTATAACGTTAACATCTGATATTTATTAATGAATATTGTTTGTTATAATAGGTACAAAGTTGATATTGCAGTCACAAATGGCACTGTTGAAGCGGCTTTTATAATGTTTGATTCAGTATGCCAGAAATTGGTTGGATTGTCATGTTCCCAGTTATTGAAAATCCAAGAAAACAATCATGAAAGAATTCCAGATGTTGTAAATGCTTTTTGTGGAAAGACTTTTGTTTTCAAAATTAAGTTGTCAGAAACTTATTTGAAACAAGGATATGAGACTTATACTGTATTAAAAAAATTTCCAGTCAAAGATGAACTAGAAAATGATTACAAGCTACAGCGATTGGAAGAGGTCAGTATATTTTATTTTTTATTTTAAGTAACACATTTTTAAAAATTCAAATGATAGCAATAGTTGCTTGACATTAACATGCTATTAATAGTTTATACAAAAATTACAGGCAATTGAAGACGAAGATGGAAAGGATTCATCAACAGCAGATGCGATTCAACATCAGGCTTTAACACCAAAAATTACTGACAAAACATCAACTACCAGATCATCTGTCGAAGAACAAGAACAATGTAGTACAATGCAATCTTCTAATTCAGGTATCTCAAACATAAGTAAAGAAAAGGGTGAAGGAACAAAACACCAAGAGATAGAATACAATGAATAGGCAAAAAAATATTATTAATAAACCTTCAGCTGTTGGTAAGAGATACAACCCACATGTGTGCTCACGGGTATATGTGCTAACAATAAATTTTTCAGACTCTGCCAACCTTCTACAATAAACCTTCTACTTGCACTTTCGGTCACAACATGCAATCGTCACTACCGATGAATTAGACTTTTTGGTGATGAACTCAAAATTAACTCTCATGGCAACAAGTTTTAACTTCCTCACCACTCCTTTCTTGCTGTTAAATAAATAACCTACGCGCAAGTCTGATTCATTAGTAAAAACATGAGTTGATTCACTACTACCCGCAATTGCCGCCTCTGAACCTGTATAAACGACCGTAGTGTTCTCTTGCTCACAAACTATACCTTTTGCATAATCTGTATTTATAGGAATCTCTACATCTACAGTAACATGTACGAGGTCCTCCTCGTCCACATTTTCATTCTGCCCCACATGACCAAGCTCTTCTACAATGTCCTCCTCACTACCTAAATCACTACCTAATCTTGATTTTTCAACAAAGAAATCAATGCCCTTGTAGTTAAAATTAAAACCAGCACTCTCCCCACCCAAATCATCGCTTACTCTTGAACCAACTTCCCAAGCTTTATCCACAACCAAAACCGTTAAAATCGGCCTCGAACCATTATCACTCACATCAAGCATAAATAACTTCACATCCTCATCAGCCATTACTACAATAGGGGTACCTTAAAATTTGCAGGAGCTCTGCTTAAAACATACTTCACAACTATATCACTATGTGAGCAACTCAACCCACCTCTTCTAATGATTTCATCAATCAACTCATCAAAACTAACTTCTGTACTTACAACAATTGCTTTAACTTGTTTGCTCTTCCCAATCCACTTCCAGCAACTTTCTTCCTCCATCCACTCACCAAAATATTCAACACCCAAAACCACTTGTCCCATGTCTGATAATACATATTTCAGGCAAGCATCGACAAGCCTCCGCTGATGTTATTAGACAATTTGTCAAAAGCCAATTTGTTGAAGGGAAATGTCTATCTCCTAAGGACATTCAGAGACTTGTGCGCACAGAGTTGGGATGCGATGTTAGTTATCGAAAATACTAGAAAGGGAGATAGCATGTATAAGATTTTGTGAGCAGCACGCCAGAGCACAGGTACACAGTATTAGAAGCGTACCGTTATATGCTTGAGTTGACAAACAAGGTAGCAAGATGGCTTTGAAGTGGGACAAGAATATGAGGTTTAAATATTTTTTTTGTTGATTATGGTGCTGCTATAAGGGGTTTTGTAAACATGAGAAAGGTATTGGTTGTTGATGGTTGCTTTTTGACAAGAAAGTATGGAGATACGTTGTTGGTGGCCACTGCACAAGACAGCAAGAATCACACATATCCCATTGCATGGTGTGTGGTTGACTTTGAGAATGACAAGTCATTGACTTGGTTTTTCAAGCAATTACTTACGATAGTGTCTGATAGTGACGAGTTATACATAATATCTGATAGACACAACTCTATAAAGAAGGGAATTACCATTATTTACCCTCAAGCACATCACGGATTCTGTATGAGGCACCTTGGCGAGAACATAAGACAAAAGTTTAAGTGTGCTAGCCTTCTTCAGACATACTACATGGCAGCAAAAACTTATCTAGTTGATAAGTTTGAGGAGCAATTCTGACAAATCTGAATCAAGGATGATAGAATTACTAAGTATCTTGAGTATGATGTTAGTTTTGAGCGATGGAGTAAAACTTACTTTCCTGGAAGAAGGTTCGATATCATGACCACGAACATAGTCAAGTCCATAAATTTGAAGTTGTTAATAGACAGAGAGTTTCCTATTGTTGCCCTTTTTGATGCTATCCAGAAGACATTGTCACGATGGTTCTATGAGCATTGTACGGAGTCAGATAATTTTACCACAACCCTTGTTCCGTCAGCTAAAAAATTATTGCGAGAACGTAAGGAACTATCAAATGCACCGTTTGCCTATCCTCTCAACGCTCAAGAGTTCACCGTATGCAGCTATGGTCTGAATGTCCTAGTTAACCTTCTTAATAAAACTTGTAGCTATAAAGTGCTTGATATTCAACGTTTACCTTGACCTCATGCACTAGCAGCATTGAAACACCAACAGAAGCCGGATCACTTAAGCAATTCTTCACCTTTACACTTGTCATCCTCAGCCTTCCAACCTCCCACAAACAACCTCCTTACAGCCTCCCTTGCTTTCCCCTATCCTCTGGAACCCCCAAATAAAGCCACTCCCCCGATGCTCGCCAATTGCTCAACAAAACGCCATAACCACCGTAACTATAAAACCAACTACATATCCCCCAAATTCGCACAAACCAATCAAATTTTTCATCAAATTCAAAACCACCAATAAAAAACATACCATTTCTTCACCTGTGTCCTCCTCCTCGCTTGAATTCTCGCTAGAGTCCTCTTCAAAACCACTTTTCGATTATTCTCTCTGTTCTTGTGTCGTTCTTGTCTTTTCTGCCTCTGGACCACTTCACTCATCGGATGATCCATTGGAGCGTCTTCTTCGACAACCTTTGAACAGCCGCCGCCGCTAGAGTCTAGGATTTGGAGTGGGGTTAGGTTTTCCTCCTCTTTGTGAATATCATCCATGATTTTGTGTAACAAAGCTTTATGATTGAATATTGGTCGGAAATAGGGAACTTTTATCATCGAAAATCGCAGAGAAATCAAAGGTGTTTCATCTGTAGTTTTTTAGGTATATTGCTTAATTAAGCGATTTTGAAAGGAGGAGGTCGTTTTTAAATTTTAAAATTTAAACAAACTTTTGTTAATTATAATATTACCCATATATATTTAAATCTTTTCAATTTAACCTATTGGGAGGTATACCTCAGGAACTTGGCTTACTCATTGAACTTGAGTACCTTGACTTGCCTGCAAATAAATTGAACAAGTCAATCCTAGAAGATCTTGGGTACATGTTGAAATTACACTACTTGAATTTATGCAGCAATGAGTTTAATGAAGAAATTCCAGATCAATTGGCAAAGCTATTTCAATTATGAGCTCTAGATTTGAGTCATAACTTGCTAAAAGGAGAGATATTGTCTCAAATATGCCGTTTGGAGAACTTGGAGAACCTTAATCTCTCCTACAATAACCTCTCTGGTTTAATTCCGAGTTGTTTTGAAGGAATGAAAGGTTTGTCATTTATCAATATATCATATAATGAGTTGCAGGTCCCATTCCCAATAATAGAGATTTAAATCTTTTCAGTTCAAAATAATTAAAAATTTTTGTTATATAATGATATAATGAAAATGAGGTGATATAAATACACCATTTACACCATTTTCATTATATTATAACCATTTTATTAATAATAATTCTATTATAATATCAAAAATTAAAAATAATTAAAAATTTATATACTTATGATGTATATCACATCATAATATAATAAAAATAATGTAAAATAAAAATGGTATAAAAGTAGGTGTAAACCAAACATTACCCATTTACATGTTTAATAAATCCTATATCACGACAGTTTTTCGAACTTATAAAAAATTGCATAATTTTTTCAGGTTATTTTTTGAAATGCGAACTTGGGAGGTCGGCGAGTTAAATTTCTTCCCCACTTTCATGATTTTCAACTCTTATGGAAACTCACTCATACTGCATACACACAGAGACACCATAGCTCACAGTTGAGGGAATATTCACTGGCTGGTTCAACCACCATAAATCTCTCCCTCTCTCTTCAATTTTCTTTCATTGCAATTCGATTCTGTAGATAAAATTTTGTGGGTTTCTGTTTTTGTTTACAATCTGTTGATGAACTAAAACTTAGTTTTGATGCAATCATCTCACCGTCTCCTCTCTTGCCTTCTTCACTCCCCCAAACGCGGCGTCGTTTTAAACCCTTCTTTCTCCTTCAGTGTTTTCGAAAAACACTCCCTCATCAACGACAATTTTCAACTCTTAGACCCTGCCACTCAACTCCAAGGTCTTTGCTCCCTTCATTGCTCTAAACGCTTCCTTTTGTTGGGTTTAATTTCTTTCGACAATGCTAATCATCATTACCAACAGCAACAGCAGTTTCATCAGTTCTTTTCTCATCGCAGTAAGTTTGTTTGTTTGTTTTTTTTCCTTTTTTTAAAATTATTTTTTAAGTGAAATATTGATTGGTTTGATTGTTTTTTTTATTGGAGATTTTTTTACTAGGGCAAAGCAAGTGAAGAAGATTGAGATAAGTGATGAACACAGGTGTGCCCACTTTATTTATCTTTTCTTTAAAGCTTTTCTTAAATTGCTTCTTTCCGTTATGAGTTTTCCATCAATTTTTTGGCTCTTTTTTGCACACCATGGTTTAAATATGTTTGTTGAATGCAGAATTTGAAAACTGTAGGGAATGTGCATATGAAGAATTTATTTCAATCAAATATCACCTTTAAGAGTGTGGACAGAATGCTGAATTTCACAGGAAAAATGGGCTGGAAAATAGTTAAACCTGTATCTGATATGGCTATAATAACTTTAACAACTCTAACCAGGTGAAACAGTTTGCATAGCAATCTTTAGCCAATTGATTTTGGTAGAATGCACTTTCTGAAAGATTTTGGAAGAGGCGTTGTACTGGCGAGTAATGATAATATCAACTTGTAAAGATAGTGGTTCTGGCTGCATTACTTTTTATGGCAGCCCGGTTTAAATCCTTGTTATCTTATAGCGCTCCTTACATGGTTTAATCACATGATAAAGGGAAGCATGAGGGAGTAGATAGTTTTCCTTCAGAACTTAAATCCTAATGCAATATAATGTATTTTGTTTATGCAGACAAATGAACAAATGAAATATATATACATATATTTTTAAAAAGAACTGAAAAAAAACCACTCTAGTAAGTAAAAGGAAGATATAGATATACCATCATGAACACAGTTGACCACTCAACTTCTGTGTTATATTAAGATGGCAGGTGCTTCTTCTGTGCCTATATTAGTTTTTGCTCCATTAAATGTATCGAATGCTGGTAAATTTAGCATCTCTCTTTCACTATCTGATCCATCCTTTCTTTTGTTGTCTCCATTAAATTCTATTTTAGTCATAGAGCTGTTAAAACTGCATTGTGGTGCAACTTCCTTGTCTTCTCTCTCAAGTTTGGTGTCTGGCTAACAACATCTAGCCATGTTATGCTGGCTGAAGTAGTGCACTCAGTTGCAGATTTTGCTAATCAGGTACCTTGGTGGCCAGAAAGGGTGTATTTCATTTGCTTTCTTGCTTTAACTTTAAATGAATATGTCATTATTCAATGTAGAGAAACTAATTTACATTGACATTGTAGGCACTTCTAGCTTATGGTTTGAGTAGCTCAAGGCGTGCACCAGATGCTCTTCATCCGTGAGTTTTTCTTAACATAGACTTGCTGCACTTTCCATCTTTTCAAGCTTTCAGTCCCATGCATCAAGTCATTTCTAAGTTTCAGATGTGCATAAATGTATATTGATTTTAAAGAAAGATGTTTAAAATGTACTTTTTTTCTGGGATTTTTTTTGGAAAAGTTTGTCTCTTGAATCACCAACTCGATAAATTCATGACTTAAACTGGTATTGATTCTGGTACACTCACTTCAGTTATTTAATTTATTAATTGTGGCTGCTATTCTAGTAAAGAATAGAAATATTGAAATATGTCTATTGTTGTCATATAAATTTGCTATTAGGCAAATTGCTGGACAGTCTTGAAACTTTTATGTGCACGGTTGATGATTTATGCTTTTCTTTTTGAAATTTTGCACTGTTAAAGTTGCATTCATTTTTATAGAGAGAAGACGCAGTTCTGTTCTTTTTGTTTCATAAATTAACTGAATTAAATTTTTCTCCTTGTTTTTACAGTTATGGCTATTCCAAAGAAAGATTTGTTTGGTCTTTGATATCAGCTGTCGGTATATTTTGTCTGGGTTCTGGTGCTACAATTGTCCATGGAATTCAGAACCTGTGGACCTCACATGTAAACCAAATTACATCATTCCAAATTTTAAATCTTCTTTTCTTTATTCCTGATGCTTAGACTTGGCAACTCCAATTGTAATTCATATATTCTTCCGTGTGTGTGTTTTCAGCCCCCTGCAAATATTCAGTATGCAGCTTTGGTAATTGGTGGTTCATTTATCATTGAAGGTATGACCCATTTCATTTAGAATAATAAATTGTTCTAAGCATATGCTAGCTTCAAAGGTTTGGTTGTTTTCCTTATATACATACATATGGAATTCCTACAGGTGCTTCTCTTGTAGTTGCTATACAAGCTGTCAAGAAAGGAGCAGCTGCTGAGGGAATGACAGTGAGGGACTATGTCTGGCGTGGTCATGATCCCACGTCTGTTGCTGTCATGACAGAGGTATTGATTGTGCCTTCAATTACTTTCAGTTGCAGGAACTAGCTAAGTCAATTTGGAATCTAATGTTGTACAGTTATGGAAATTCATTAAGTGGGCTGTTGCTTTGATTTTCACACCTTCAGTGTCATTTCAACCTCTGCTTGATTTATGGATGCAAAATAGGATAAAGTTAGACTTGACAGAAATAAAAGAAAGAAAGAAAGAAAATACAAATAAGCATTAAGGGAAAGAGATGAGAGTTTTAGTAGAAGCAATTGTAAGTTCAATGTTGTTCAAATACCAAACATTGAAAATTAGCTGAATTTTAAGAGTTCAAGGTTGTATGTGAATATTTGGATGTGAAAAACACAAAACTAATTTTCTAAATACTAGTTAAATTCAAAATAAACTTAACAGATGTGATCTACGCGTAGAAAAACTTGGATTTGAAGGACACACAAACTTTTCTTTACTTATCCAAAAAACTAGTATAGACATGTTTCACACTTTTTGTTTCCAAAATATTATTATCAAAATATGGTACCAGACACTTTCATCATTTTTTAAAAATGCAGAGTACATTTTTTTCTAAATGCAGTATTCTAGTTTTGTTTTAGTTTTTACTTCAGTTCTGCCTTTCTAAATTTTTTGATTAAGGTTTGATGAAGTCTTTATTTAATTTTTAATATTCCATTATGATTTAATTCTCATAAATCTGTGATTAAAAATTATAGTTCTTGTGTCATTAAAAATTAAATAAAGTTTCTTTCATCTTTAATATCATATATTCTTGATTGTTAGAATTATTTAATTAATTAAAGCCTTTTGATATATGCTTAATCTATTTTTTTTTCTTTTTTTTTTTCTTTTTTTTTTTTTTATGATTTGTTGTTTTTCATTGAATGGAATATAGTAAATGCTAGGAAATTATACCTAGGCTAAACAAGAAGTGACATAAGATTTATTAAATTGTATAGTCTAATGAGACTTGATTAACGTCTTAATTGTCACGCTATTTAACTTGATAATTAATTCATAACTAGAATATTAAGAGTTAAAGATACGTGGATTCAATACCTTGATCTATTATTAGTTTGTGTTTACTTTATTATTTTTATTGGATTTTATTTATTATTAGTTGTCAAATTTTAATTTTAGTTCATAGATTTAAGTTTTCTGTAAGTGATTTATTTCCAAATAAAATTAATTCTTGTTAACTAGGTTAGTATAGATTTTATTTAGATTTCCATTGATTAGTAGTCAGTGTAGGTTCAACCTCGTATGCATTGGATTTGTCCTCTAATAGATTCTTGTCTTGCGAGTTTATTCAAAACAACAAAAAAAAAATTATTGTGATTGCCCATCTTAAACTTAGCTTCTCCTTTTTCTTGGTTGCAATATTCCTATGTATTTCACTTGGATTTTTGGCTTTTTCAATGCTTCCAAATTGATTTACCTAAACAAAAATAAAGCTTTAATAAATAAAATCATTAACAAGTTAAATTTAAGGTAACAAATATGATACAAATTGTACTCAACAAGAACTCTTAAGGGATTTGACATATTTGTATCTTCTTGCTCTCTCTATACTAAGCTTGTGCAAGCATAATCATCTTTCAATTATGTGTCTCTGTGTTTGTGAGCCATTGTATAACTGTGGATGCCCTTATGCACGCTATTATCTTTACTGCAATTACTACATTTTGGTTAGCTGCTGGTGATTTGCTCTATATTTATGTGTGATTTTATTGTGCAGGATGGTGCTGCAGTTACTGGCCTCGCTATAGCAGGAGCCTCACTGATTGCAGTTAATACCACGGGAAATGCAATTTATGACCCAATTGGTTCAATCATAGTTGGCAACCTTCTTGGAATGGTACACATTATTTCTCACTCACCAATTTTGTGCAGGTTCAAGATTACCTTAGGGCTTTTTCTAAACAAATAACTTGAATGCTTATGACCTATTATGATATAATGGGTCAATATATAGATTATGAAACAATTTCTTAAAAAGCCCTATTTTAAGAGTCAAATTGAAATCTGATCTCTTCTTAATTGGCTTAGTAGATAAGACCCTCCATCCAATTTTTTTTCCTCTTTTACCCTCTTTACTCTAGCAACTAGGGGAAGCCACTCTAGTGCTCGAGTCGCTAGAGTCCAGTCGACTCTAGCACTAGAGTACAAAAATTAATTTTTTTTTTTCATTTCTTATTCTTAGAAAATTAAAAATAACTCTTATATACATTTAGTATTCTTTTTCTAAAAACAATATATTTTATTTCTTAATTTTGTTAATAAAATATAACTAGTTAATTTATTTGTTAGTTTAAAGAAATTTTGATATTTAATTTCTAACACTGATTTTGGAGAATAATTAAAAAAAAAGTTCTAGTGACTCTCTAGTGCTAGAGTCACGTGGACTTTAGTTCTACAATTGCTAGAGTGAAGGCATGAAATTTGTGGAGGGGTAAAAATGAAACAAAAGTAGATGAAAGGTCTTATCTAATAAACCAATTAAAAAAATGTTATATTTTAACTTGTCAAAAGCAAAAGGGTCTTTTAAGTAGTTTTCTCAAAGATTATTTGTAACTATAAATGATGATCACTTGACGTTGTCACCTCATGTAAAAAGAGAGAGAGAATTTTGGAACAGAGCTTACTTTGACTATCCGTTGTGCTAGGAAGGCTCAACCCTTGTATATATAAATTTCAGCTCTGATTTATTGCTTCTCATGTAATATCATACAGGAGATTTTCATGTGATTATAAGCTAATTTTGTGAAAGCACTGGGTGTCGATAGAAGATGAAGATTTCTTGGGGGTGTCCATGATAATTTCTAGATTTAATTGGCGAGAAGGAAACTTGATATTATGGCTAACATCCTAACATAAAGTGGTTGTGAACATTTGGCTATTGCGATAGTAAGTGAACTGTATTTTTTATGCAGGTGGCTATATTTCTCATACAGAGGAATCGGCATGCTTTGATTGGTAGGGCAATGGATGACAATGATATGGAGAAGGTCCTCCATTTCTTGAAAAATGACCCGGTATAATCATGTCAGATGACTCTACATTTTCCTTTTTGTGTCAATACTTCCCAGGTTGACAATTTTGGGATTTTGGTAGGTTGTAGATTCTCTATATGATTGCAAAAGCGAGGTGATTGGTCCTGGATTCTTTCGGTTCAAGGCTGAAATAGGTGACATTTCTTGCTTATGCTATTCTTTTTGAATCTTTCTTGGGACTTGGCTTCAAACTTTTAAACTAAATTTTATATAATCATCTATGTTACTCTCATAACGGAAAAGAAAATATTCATCAACATGTGCAGTTTCCTTGTGTTGACTTATGTTACTACTGAGATTTAGTTTAAGTATCCATTACTATCCAATAAAGATGTTACAAATTTCTGAATTTGTCAATACCATATCTTTTCTGTTGTATCTGGTTTCTTTGCTCCGTATTGTGTAATTTGATGGATTGTTTTGTCAAATGTAGTGTGTTGATCCCTAGGTTTCCGAATAATAACAAAACATTGATTGGTTGCAATCCTGGACCCTTCATAGTGTTGCTTTTTAATTGTGAATGCATTTAATTGGTTTTGCTGGTGCATGAATTTATGTACCCGGGGCTGGCTGGATGAAACAGATTTCAATGGAGTGATGGTGGTACAAAACCATCTAAGTAGGACTGGACGTGAAGAATGGGCCAGACAGGTTAATTATCTTATCTTTACTCTTTTTCACTGAAATTTTTGTGATATATTAGAGTTTTTTCAAATGTACTGCATGCATGTGAGAGACCGATACAGTTCAACATTGTAGCAAGCATTACCTTGTGAACGTCTAATTCTTGGACATTTTGGATGTGTATACAATCTATGTTTGTAGTTTGCTTTGTGGAATTAGAGTATACATTTCTGAATATTCATACATATCTAGCTGATTTGAACCGATGATACACAGTTCCGTGAAGCTGCAAAGAATAAGGATGATCATGAGTTGCTGAAAGTCATGTCAAACTACGGTATGCATTGCAATGAGCGACTTAAATTGTTATTTGACTTAGACATGTTAAACAACTAGGAGATCTCGATGCAGGTGAGGAGGTGGTTACTGCTTTAGGAAGTGAAGTTGATAGGCTAGAAAAGGAGATCCAAGCTCTTGTTCCTGGTATTCGGCACGTGGATATTGAAGCACACAACCCAGTGGACCTATCCTCATAGTATGGTATTTTTTGGTTTGAGCAGTATATCATGTGGCATTCTTTTCTTGCATAATTAAGATTGATCATCGATTACTGTAACTTTTTTTTTCCGTAAAGTCTATATGATAATATATACGGAAATGTTCATAGTAGATTCAAAATCTGGTGATATACAGACAACTTTGGTGGATTTGGTACATTGATGAGTATTTTCCTGGTTATGATACTGTTTCAAATTTGAAGTAAAGTTGTGGAAATCAAAAGAGATGGATTATTTGCTCCTCAACATAAAAGTTTATTGGCTTTGTAAACATTGTGCCTTCAAATTTGTAGCCATGAGAATTCAAACTTAGATTTGCTACAGAGAGATATTGTTCATATAATTTGTAAATTGCATGCCATTGATTTTAAAATATTTTCTTGTGTATATCACAGAGCCAGGTCATTTGGGAGGTTTGTGGAGGTGTGTTCATTTTAAGTAAAAAATGCTGAGAATAATTCAAATTTTTAGATTGTACTTTAGTTTTTGATTATGTTTTCCTAATGAACCGCCATGAAAAAAAGACAAATGGAAATTGAAGTAGCAAGAATTTTCTCATTTCAAGTGATGTGACAACGTGCATGACGATGCACTCAATTGGTAGAAACCAATTCAATAATATTTGTCAGAATGTTGAGAAAACAATTTCTATGGAGTGTGGATGGCTCAACGTTGAATAGGGGTGGGATAAAAAATCCGAAAACCGAACCGAACCAGTAACCGAACCGAAACCGAACCGAAAATTAGGTTTTTTTACAAACCGGTTCGGTTTTCGGTTAGTAAAATTCAAAAAACCGAAAAACCGGTTCGGTTTGAAAAATTGCAAACCGGTTTTTAAACCGGTTTTACACTACATATAAAAGCAAAATTTTTTTTTTTCACTCACGCAGTCACGCTACAAGCCTTCAACAGCACCATCCACATTCGTCTTTCACTCTCTCAGCCTCCAGTCACCAAATCTGAAAATTTCAAGATTCAAATCTCTGCACTTCGTCTGCGTCGATCGTCGTTCGCCATCACCCATCCACACTGTGAGCTATTTCGTCGTTCGCCAGCACCCAGCACTCCAACAGAGTCACGCCATTGTCCCACCGTGAACAGAGTCTTCTCTCCAAGCTTCGATCTGTCGAGCTTCACGTTCACAGTCAACAGATCACTCTCCAGTCAAGCCACCGTGAGGCGTGAGCAGACTCCATCGTGAGGCTTGAGCAGACGCTGCAGACCCACCCTGAAGAGACGCCACCGTGAGCACTGAGCCACTGAGCAGACCCACTGAGGTTTGAACGTTTACCTTGTGGGATGGTTACTGTACTAGATATACATATATTCTCATTTCCCTACTCATATTATATAAACTAATCCAATAGAATCCAGTTCCTTGAATAATAAATATTGATAATGTGGATAAATGGATGAGTGTAAGCCGTAAGGGGGCTATGAGTGTTATGATTTTAGACTTTCGGTGGAAGCATTTTGGATGGTTAAATGTTCATATGTTTTATTATTTTCATTTATAGCTGTTAATTGAAGATGATGATCTTCTTCGTGTGCCATTAACAAATCCGGGGAGTGCGGAATCAAGAAACTTCATTAACACCAACATTGTGGGATGCAGATGATTTATGTTATATTAAGTTTTTTTACTTTGTAATTTTATGTTATGTATTTGAGTTTATTAATGAATATTGACTATTCAATGATGTGTAATTGAATTCTTTATGTTTTTATTTTATATTCTGGATTCAGTATCTGCAAATAAGTAATTTAATATGTTAATGTATTTTTCATACAAAGAATACAAAATAAAAGAGAAACATAATATGACATTATATATAAAATAATAAATATTTAAATTTAGGGGCTTGAATAAAACATTGAAGAATTTTATGGATTAAAAGGTAATTTGAAAACCGGTTAACCGGAAACCGAACCGAAAATTCGGTTCGGTTTATATTCGGTTTTTAACCGAAACCGGTCTGGTTTTCGGTTTGGATAAACCGGTTCGGTTAACCGGTTTATCCCACCCCTAACGTTGAACCCAATATTTTAAAACCCAACCGGTTCAACCAAGACTTAGGGCCTTCACCAGTCTGGGTTAGCAATTTTCTTATTTATTAAAATCCTTAGAAATTGAGACAGTGATCAGTTGTTGAGGCTTTTTAAGAGGAAGGGTTGGTGAGTGTAATGATGGTGACGGAGGTGATTTCTGGTGAGCAATTGATTGGAAATCACACAACTAAATCGGCGGTAACAATGTCGATTGGCAAGACAATCGGGGAAGGGGTGATATGGGTTTTGGTTAGGAGGTTGAGGAGAGTGTTTTTCTGGTGATTAGGATTGTTATCATTGTCGGAAATATACCATATTTGCCTTGGTTTGTCGACACCTGCGGCGGTGTTTGTGGTGTTTTTGCAAAATTTCAAACACGTAGAGACTTAAAATTTTTAAAGGTATTTTTGTTATATTTTAAACTTTTGGACACTAATTGGACCCATTGGTCAAACCGGTCAACACGGGATTCGACCACTTTATCTGGTTTCACCCTAAGCTGCAGTGGCGGATCCAGCCCACTTTTGGCTCACCCTCAATTTTTTTTTTTTTAAAAATACTAATATATATCATTTTTGGATTTTGGCTCACCCTAACAAAAATATTAATATATAATTAGTTTTTATATTGGTCCACCTTAACAAAATTTTGTTGGTTATTAAAACATTGGTTGAACCAATGATTACTTCATATCCAAGGTAGTCTTCTCTTGGTCAAAAATATTATTCTTCTAGTAACACTTAATTTTCTAGGCTTTCATATTAGTCCACTTAATCTATAATCTATCATTGTTATATATATATATAACTTTTCCTCCAAGCATCTGGGAAGGGAGGAAACAAATTCCTTTGAGCTTTGTGTTTCTTTGTTTTACCCATTCCACCCATTTACATCATCTAGTGAATATGAGATTTGTTGGACAGTAATGCAGAAAACCTGAACTTCTTAGCTACGTATATAACCTCACAAAATTGCTTCATTTTTTCTTAATTTAAATCAAATCTTCAATTGACTATAAGATATCTTGAAAAGTTGCTAGAAATCTTAGTAATTAAGTTAGCTAGTGTTATATTTATATATACATAGACCAAANTAATTTTACAGGGTACCCAGAACAGGAACTAGAACCGTTGTTACAGGTTCTGGTTCTGGATACCTAGGAACTGGAACCGTCGGTTTCGGTTCTGGTTCCAAATTTCAAGGAACCGTCGATTCCGATTCTGGTTCCTTCAAAAAGTGTAAGGTACCCAGAACCGAACACCCCTAGTGATCAGTGAACAATTGAAGATCGGGATGTTTGGGCTTTTGAAGAGGAAGGGCTGATGAGTGCAATGATGGCGACGGAGGTGATTTCTGGTGAGTGAATCGATCAGAAATCGCAAAACTAAATCGACGGCAATAGTGTCGATTGGCGAGGCAATCGGGGAAGGGATGATATGGGTCTTGGTTAGGAGGTTAAGGGGAGTGTTTTTGTGGTGATTAGAAGTGTTATCATTGTCGGAAACAAACCCTATTTGCCTTGGTTTGTCAACACTTGTGGTGGTGTTTGGAGTGTTTTTGCAAGATTTCAAACACGTAAAGACTTACAAATTTTTAGGGGTATTTTTATTATATTTTAAACTTGTGAACACCGATTTGACCCATTGGTCAAACCGGTTAAACCGATCAACATGAGATTCGACCACTTTATTGGATTTCACCCTAGATTGGTTATTAAAACACTGGTTGAACCTATGATTACTTCATATCTAAGGTAGTCTTCTCTAGGTCAAAAATATTATTCTTCCAGTAACACTTAATTTTCTAGGCTTCCATATTAGTCGACTTAGTCTATAATCTATGATTGTTTTATTTTTCATAGTATATATATGTAGCTTTTCCTCCAAGCATCTGGGAAGGGAGGAAACAAATTCCTTTGAGCTTTGTGTTTCTTTGTTTTACCCATTCCACCCATTTACATCATCTAGTGAATATGAGATTTGTTGGACAGTAATGCAGAAAACCTGAACTTCTTAGCTACGTATATAACCTCACAAAATTGCTTCATTTTTTCTTAATATAAATCAAATCTTCAATTGACTATAAGATATCTTGAAAAGTTGCTAGAAATCTTAGTAATTAAGTTAGCTAGTGTTATATTTATATATACATAGACCAAAGGGAGGGGGGGTCAAGGAGGGTCAATTGATCCTCTTCATCTGTGGAAAGTTTTTTACTTTTTTATTTTGATTTATATTATTCCCTTAAAATAAATAAATTATATAATATTATACTGGCTAACTTCATTACAAATTTAGGTATTAATTTGTTTGGTTGGGTTGGTTCTAGACAATGACTCAGTCAATCTTGCATTAAATATACAGATAAAATCTAGAATAATGCAATGATATTACGTCGGTCACGGCATAAATCAATAAATTTATGTTATTTATAATATAATTTAAAGTTATTAAATTGAAAAATATGTATTAATTTATAAAATCGTTGATATGATACTTCTGTGACCAGTTTGGAACTTACCATTTTTTTTTTTTTAAATATAAAACTAATACTTTATTTTCTATATTTGATTAAGTAAATGTATAACATTATTTTAGTTCTTTATATTAATATATTTTAATTATCAAGGCGAATAATAAAATTAGAAATAAAATAGTTTTGCTCCATGTAAACATTAGTTAAATTTCATTGAACACGTTCCCCTAAAATAAAATTGTCTAATTAATGAAACAACAAGGTTAGTTACTACATACATTTGAGAAGTTTCTAGATTTTTTTTTTATTACAAGTCCACAAAAGTAATGGCTTGGTTTGGTTCACAATTGGGTATTTTTGAAAAAAAAAATTAAAAAAAAGTTAAATAAAAGTTGAATTGGGCGGGTATTACGATGTAGAAGTTATAAATTTAAAATACCCCCTATATTTGTTTATTTACAAAAAGCCCCCTATAATAAAACATTAAAAGTTAACAAAAACACCCCCAATCCACCCTCAAATATGGACAGTCGACCACCACCGCCGGAGGGTGGCTGGATTCACCGTATCGGCGCATGACCGGCTGGATCTTGTCGGTCGTGTGTCGATATGGCCTTTTCTAAGCAGGTCTACGGTGGATCTGGTCGGCAAAGGCTAGATCTACGGCCAGATCTGGCCGTATTTGTTCGTCAACGACGGCCAACAAACGGTCGTCGTTGATGGTCAACGACGACAGTTTGTTAGTCGTCGTTACCGACTGTTACAGCCAAAGATCTGGCCTTTTCCGGCAAGATCCACCGTGGATCTGGCCGGAAAAGGCTAGATCGGCACACTACCGGCCAGATTCAACTGGTATTACGCCATCCTAACAGATTCCGACCATTTTTCGGTAGTGATGGCCAGAATCTGGTAAACGTCTCATACTGGGGTATTTTTGTAATTTTTAAAAAAATATTTAGGAGTATTTAATTAAATTATCAAATTTAAAGGGTTTAAAAAAAGTTGAATAATATTGAGAGTAGTATTCCCAAAAATACTGATTTTTTGGTATTTTACTGTTTAACTTTTTTGGGAATACTAAAAGTAGTATTCCCAATTGTGAACCAAACGAAGCCAATGCTTCTCTCAAAAGCAAATGGTGCGGTGCTATAAATTCAATTTTTTTTTTTTTAATCGAGGTTAAATATTCAAAGATCCATTGAACATTTTATAAGTCTAATAAATTAAGTAAGTCACAAATGTGATAGATGGTTACTGTAAGGATTCAAATACAAAACCTTTAAATAACTCACCTAGATGATTAAAGTCTTGTCATCTGACCATACGCGTAATAGTTTAGAAATTAGTTTTTTATCTTGACCGGTCAACAACCATCAATCAAGGAAATATTTAGTAGATAAAGTGAAGATTCAAACTTTGTATTTAAACTCACTAAACAATTGATTTGGCAAGTTGTTGACTGGTGAACACGATACACGTTCTGTCTTTTTAGTCATTTTCTCAATTATCAAACTTTTTTTCAAACACATGGACGATTCAAGGTGGCATCTTGGTCTTTTCGGTGCTTTTACTAATAAAACAACTGCAAGTTTTGGAAGTGTTCAAAAGAATATTTGTTTTGGTCATTGACTTGAGTAGACCCAATTTACAATAATAATCAAGTCTACAAAACTATCAAAATCAAAGTAAAACCCGCAAAATATTTGATCAAATTAGACTTTGGAGAGTATTGTAATAAGTATATCTTAGAAAAAGGACAAAATTGACCCACCCCCACGTTTAGGTAAAGACATTGACCTACCTAACATTTTAGAAATTAACAATGACTTACACATCTGTTAATGAAGCCGTTAAATACTATTCAATTACAAAAATACCCTCTCTTATAAATAAGAAATAAAAAGTAAAACTCACATTTTGAAGACTCAATCCGAGGCCTCTTACAAGGTTTTAAGTCTTGCTACTACCCAAAAAAAAATCACTTGTTTGTTTATTACAGTAAAATAAAAAAAAATAAAAAAACTTAAAAAACTTTAATGAATTAACTCAAAGATAAAATTACACCAGAGTCTCCCAAATTTCTAATCATTGGCAATTGGATACAAATCAAACGTGATTCTTAAACTAAGGACGAAGAGCGTTTTATTGGGTGTTCGATAATATCTAGTTCACCGACACAATGGTTTAGCATCATACGTAAAGTGATGCAGTTGCAAGTTATAAAATGGTCTGCTAACTCTGTAGTCAGTCGCAATCTGCTACCACTAGTTTGGATTGTAGGCCAACGTGTCCGACTCAGCCATCCATGAAGCTTTTAGTAATTTTTTTATTTGTAAGCAAGATTGAATTTTTTTTTTAATTTTTTATAGGTGAGATAAGGTTTTTGAGAAGCTTAAAAAGACAATTTTACCCAAAGCAATGACTGGAAATACAGATCCATCCCTACTACAGTTAATTATAACAGAAGTCGTTCATTTTTTATACATTACAGTCAATTTCTAAAGCCTTTGAAAGGTCATTTTTGTATTTTCAACTAAAGCCGAAATCGGTTTACGCGTTGCCATGTGCTGCCGCGATTCGAACAAGTCCAAGTCAAAGCGAAACTCTTTCTTCTTCGCAACTTCTCAGAATGCATCTTTCAGAACTTTCATTTCCAGTAAACTTCATCAAAACAGTTGTACCCAGCTAAGCTTCCATATTGTGAAACTTCAGTGAAATTGCTTAAGCTTTCATGAGCGTGATCTTCAAGATCATTCTCCTTACATATATATATATATAAGTATACAACATACATTTGCCACAATTCAGAATTGGGTTTTGGAAATAAATAAAAATGAGTGTGTTGTCAGTTTTTGATCTCCAAGAAAAAGTAATACAAAGAAAAGGAGCAAATGCTGTATGTCCATTTTGTGGCGGACCCGTGCTGGCTATAGATTTTGATGCTAATCTAAGGTTTTGTTTTTTCCCCATTTCTCACAAAGTTAAGAGGAAGTTCTACTGCACTATTTGCTCTAGACGTTTGTTCCCTGGCCCTGCACCATAATTAAATCTTACAAATATTGTCAGCTTTCTCGATTGTCAAAGACATTTTTTCTTGTATGTTTGATTGTTATTTTCTAAATCAAAGAGTATGTAATATGAAGCTCTGTTTTTAAGTACTCTGTCTCGTAAGAGAATTCAATTACTTGAATAAATAAAAGGCTTGTTGTTTTAATAGTAATGTTGGGTTGTTATACTATAAATTTGGAAGTTCTATACAAGTTCAAATGTTGTAAACTTTGTTACATTATTTACACATATCGTGTGTAAACGTATGCGTATATAGATTAATTTTTTTTTAATGATCCGAGGTGTTCGGGCCAACTTATACGTACCTTAATTAATCCACCAGAATCATGAAACTATCGGTTGGATAAGAGTTCCAATAGTCACCCCTATTAGCAATCGTGGGGACTTGAACTCGGGAGACTATGTTAGATCTTCCTCTTGCTCTTTTACCATCAAGAGGACTCGAACTCGAAAGATCATGTTAGATACTTTTTGTTTTTTCACCATTAGATCATCCAATGATGGATATATAGATCAAGTTATTGTAATACAAATTTATAAAACATAATTTGTGACATTGTAAACACTAAACCACCAAAAAAAAAAAAAAAAAAAAAAATTTGTGAGTTAAAATAGAAAAAAAAAACATAGGCAATGTCGGCTCAATCATGTTTATATTGGCAGGAGGAGATACAGCTGGGTAGGGGATCGGTAGTGACATTGGGAAGGTTAGCCCTTGGAACGGCTATTACCATTATTAGAGTCAGTAACTATTAGAATAGTCTATTGTACATGTTCAATTATATATAAATGGAGGTAAGTAGGCTAACTCTTGGAAGAGTTTTTCCCTTGTTACCATAGGAAGAAGAACTGCATATGATATCCCTTGAGGTTCTCGTGGCCTGCCTGCAATTTCTAAGAAATTCTTAAATAATTAACTTGGTTTGACCAAAGACCAGGACCCGGTTCCTTAGTTTGATGTTTTGCATCCCAAGAAATGGTTTACATTTTCCTGGTGTAGTCAACACGTTTAAGTAGCCTTTTAAAAGTATTTGTTGTGAAAGCGTAGTACATAAACAAAGAGGTTGGAATCTATTTGAAATTAATAGCTATTCTTTTCGGCAATGATGTGACCCAACATTTTGAACATGAAGAAGCGCTTCCTCTTTCAATTTCTACACTAAATTATCAGCAGGCCACTTTTTTTTTTTTTTTTTTTTTAATGATTGGAATTTTCGTATCAATTTACATATTTTTTAATTAATCTTTTAAAATTTTAAAAGAGTTTTAATGATTATCTCTATTAAGAGTTAAGATGAATCGAACATAAAACATCTTAATTAATACATTTGAGAGTCTTAGTTAACTATTCAATCACCAAATGATTATATTAAACTACCATGGATGTGTTTATTGTTGTTTAAAAATTGAGAATGTTTTGGATGAAGAGTTAGTGAAAGAAATTAGAAAGAATTCACAGGAATCAGTAATTGTTCTGGATGAGTTTATATACCTAATATTATTTCATTTTTATTCTTCTTGTCTTATTTGCCAAGTCAGCTTCTTCTTTAATAAATAATAATTTCTCTATTTGGTTTTGCCTAGTTAGGTTTATATTTGGACGTGCTTCCTTAGAGCTACTCAAGCTATTTAACTATCGGGTCAGACCCAATTTACACATTCAGATCCTGCTCATACAATGTTGTACAAAATATTTTCAGATAATGAAAAATGTGTTTCATTTATATTTTGTAGAGTATATTAAAGCTTCTTTTCTTTTTATGAGAAATAAAGAATCATTTAAAGGGTATGTGGGAATTATTTTGGTTTTGGCATAGCTATAATTATCCGTTATTACTCTCACTGAACATGATGAAAACCTTAACATTTATCATCAATAGTAACATAACACCACCAGATCATGACAGCGTCAGTCCTCAGAAACATTCCTCTTTAAATAGATGAAAAGAACAAATGAATTTTAAGCTTTGTTTAACAGATAAATGGCTTGTACATGAAGGCTGCAGTAGAGATTAAGATTGACAGTAAAACTGAAGAGCCATTCTTGTAAAGAACATATGATAGACCTGTACATCTCAAGAACAAATATTCACATACTAAAGCTGAAACCGGAACCGGAACGGCAAGGCACAACAGTATCCCACATTCAACCCAACATTAATATCACCGTTTAATGAGAAAATCTACAGTTAAAATTGCAACAATCATTTTGAAATTGTCAAAATGAACAATATCTTCAGGTTTTAGCACTGCATAATGAGAATGATTTGGCATAGAATGCCGTAAAAGTAGAATAGCAACTCACAATTTCAAAAGCTGGTGAAAGGTATCATGATAAAACTCACAAACTACTGCATACTAAAGAAATCAAGAGTCTTTGAAGTTTGAGTCCCCCTATTTCCAAAATAAAATAAAATTTCCATAGCATCACAAGTTCCATTGTCTAAGAAAACCTGTGTTCAACTAAATGATAAGAGATTCAAAATCTGATTGCTTCCGGTATCAGTAATGAACCAAAAGAACCTTAAAGAGACAAACAAACACCTCAATAACTCTAATGACAAAATAAGAAAAAGCCTAATTCATTCTTCTGATGAGCTCATTGATGAAATTTTCCCTATTACCAGCATCACCACCTTCAACATAGTGGTTCCTCTTCTTCTTCAAACCCCCCAAAGGTGCCTTCAGCTTAAATGGCCATAGGAAGTTGTTAGCCTCCTTAAAGTGAGGTCCAACTGTGATGATCTCATGGATCAGGTCTTCCATGCAGATAATTCCATACTTGCCCAGAGCCTGACAATTTATGAAACGTTAATAACACAACGTCACAAATTTGTCACTGAAAAACACTTAGACATAAAAGCACAGAACAAAAAATGCACAAACCTGCTCAACAACTGAGTTATCAGTCAATGCAATTCTCTGCTTGTTCAGCTTACCATATCCCCTCTTGTAAATCAATTCCCTAACACTCTTCAAATTGGGATATCTGAAAACAAGAAGCACCAACACATCAGACATGGAAGACAATTAAGTCTAAAAAAAATAAATAAATAAAATCATGAAAGATATAAGAGTGACATACCCGTAAGTTACAAAAGGTTCAACCCTGTGAAGCATGTTCACTGTTGCTTTATTAACTTTAAGAAACACTCCATTGAATATCTGTATTAGCAAAGAAGATATTTCATTACAATACATATAAAAAGTTATGTTTGCTCAATTTTTGGTCAAACAAGTATATCCTACTGAATGAATTCAACAACATGGCAAACCAGCACCTAAATCCCCAAATAAATCAGGTACAGCTTCCAAAACACTGTCAGAAACAAAACTCATTGCAAAATAAATGAATTAGCGTCATACTGTATACTTTGGATACAACTGTTTGCCAAAGTATTCTCATCCATTCCATTTCAATTACTATATAATCCTAATAAAGTTGCATGTGCAGAAATATCAATTCAGTTAAAACTAACAAGAAATCTTTTCAATTAAAAATAACCATTCATCTTAAACAAGCACCATATTTCAAAATCCAAATTCTCTTTTTCTCTTATTATTTAGAGTAAGACTTCAGTAAGCTACCTGTCTCAAACGCAACAGCTGCAAGATCTTTCTTGTCTTAGGATGCATGGCATTGATACTGAATGATCCAAAAGCGTACATATTAGACATTATAAGCAACACATAAAAGTCCAAAATCGAAATATTAGACATAAGAAGCAACATAAAACAATCCAAAAACAACAAAACGTACCCACGAATGCGAACAATAAAGAGAAGCTTAGCTTCGGGGTCAACGTAGAAGCCTCCTTTCAACTTTGCTTCACGCTTCAATTGAATTAGCTCCTTTTCCTGTATAATCAATCGAATCTCTGTCACTAAAAAATCATAATGGAGAAATCAAACAAATAATAGTGAGAAAGAATGCAATAAGAACCTGCTCTGCATACTACTTTGCATAAAGCTTGGCTCGACTGAAGATGAGCTTCCTGCTCTCAGCATTCTTCTTCTTAGTAGCTTCAAGCTCCTGCTTCTTCGCAAGGGCCCACTCCTCATTCCTCTTCTGCTTCTTCAATACTGACTCTGGGATCACTACTTTGGCTTCTTCACCCATCTCTGAAATGATAATAAAAAAAATTCAAAATAAGCGCTGGATACCCAAAGTAAAATTAATACAAACCTAGGCAAATAAACATAGAACATAGACAGGGAAAAACATTCACATAATATCAAATCAAAATATCCAATATCTCAAATATCAAAAAACTAAATACGAAAATGGATCAGAACACTGGCTTGGATTCTCTAAAAGAGAACAATCGCACATTATAATCATCGTCGATCATCTGGGGAAAAAATCATCACTTCCATCTTCACTATAATGTCTTTGCCCATCATATGTAACTTTAAAATTATTTTATATTAGAAAAACATACGAATAAATAAAAAAGAAATGCAGAAATGAAAAAGCCAATCTCAGAAACGTAACTACAACTTCAAATGATAATGCTTTTTCTTCTTTTCTCGATAACAAATGAGTCTCTCTTTTTAACCACATAAACACAATTACAGCTTCAATTGATGAGGTTTTTTCTTCTTTTCTCGATAAAAAAATTCAAAGACCAACGCATTATTTCTATCTAATCTTTTCAAACTCATTGAAACACAAAACGATCATACCCAGATAAATTAAACATATTAAAACGAAAACAAACGAGTATTGCAATTGGACATATGGGGCTTACCGGCTGATCGGCGTCTGAAATCAAGGTGCTAGCCAAACTAGAGAAAACGACTGTGTTAAGAGTGCTATATAAACAAGAGACACTCTGAATGAAAAACTAGGGTTTTCTCTACTAGAGTGGTGGCAACGGCTGCAATTCAGTGTCTGAATTTGGATGGATCTTGACCGTTCATTTGTGGGTTGAGTAGAGAGGGTTTGATTTTGAGTATAATATCCTTTAAATCCTCATACTATTGTTTTTTAAGGTTCAGAAGTTTAATTTTGTGTCAAATATCTCCCTATTTTCATTTCGTTTATAAATAGTGTCATTATTTTGTTTATTTTGTCTTAATTATTGTTTTGAATAGAATATTAGGTTTACTTCACCTATTATACTTGATTTTTTTAACCAAAAATGAATTGGAAAAAAAAATTATATGCATTATTTTGTGTTCTCAAAATTTGAAAATACAAACATTTAAAAAACAATAATATTTATAAACAAAAAATAGAAAAAAAAAACATATTTGTTAATTTTGTTTTATATAAATAGTAGAATTATTGCAGTGAAGTACAGAATGAAAATATAAAATAACAATTGTGCATATTGCGTATTTGCAATTGTTTAAATTTATGTGTGAATCTCTTTTTTTCTTTTTTCTTTTTCTATTTCAAAAAAGGGTAAAAAAACAAGAATTGACATTAAAAAAACAAAAACGTAAAGGATAATGACCATAAACTTGTTAAATCTCGTAGTATTAGGATTTCAGTTCAGCGCTTCAATTGCTTACTTTTGAAACGGAAAAAAAATCGTGTCTTGGAACCAACAAAGATAAGTGTCCTTTATAGAATTGTAAATGCAGTTGTTGCGTGGTCAAATTGATGTGAAACCAAAAACAATTACCAATTTTTTTAAGTATTACAAAATTAGAACCCCCGATGTCGATGAATTGCAAGTTACAAATGAAGTGGGTGAAGAGAATCAAAGAGTCATTGTAGAATTGAGTAATCAGATTCGACAACTTCATTACACTAATCGAATGAATATTATTACCTTTCTCAGTTATCCAAATGAGCAACAAGTCATGTATGCTTTAACTGAAGAATTAGACAAGAAAAGAAAGAAAATAATCATGAGGATGATAGTACATAAATATAAAAAGTTTTGTGCTAAGAAGTTTTAAACATGTTTGAGAAACTAGAAATATTTTAGCTTTAAAAAGAAAATGTCCATGCTAGTGAGTAATATACCCGCAAGTAAAAAGATGTGATAACAACTATAAAATATAAAATCATTCTCTTAAATAATTTTAGATAAATATTTTATTTCATTTTAAATCTTTAATGTAACAAAGCATATATTTTTTTACAATATACAAATAATTATTACTATGTGGAGGCAACTTTCCTTAAAGCAAGAATTATAACTTATTGTTAGAGTAAGTGCCCTAGAGTCAATCAATTATTGTAAAATTGACTTTTTGCAATAATGTTTATTTATCAATAAAAGGCATATTCTTCTATATCGTGTAAATCATAGTTATATATAATGATATATGTCCTTAAGATGGTAGAACCATGACGAGGGTATCACATGTTTTTAATCTTGATAGTGAAAACCCTATGATCACATATGGTGGTCATTCTAGAAATGTCTGTAGCCCTAGTATTACTCTAACCAAGGACACAGATAATAAGGTAAGACTATCATAGTGTTGAACAATCCCGTAGAAAGACAGTGACTGATCTCACTTGTCAAGGTTGTTTGCCGACAACCTAGTGCAACACATGAGTGTTTACTGTAGGCAAGTTTATTAGACAGACCCATAGGGGATGTCATATGGATGGTAACCCTAGTGTCTGTGGAATAAATCCTCTAACCAATGGTGGTGTATGTGATCCTTAGACTTGAGATCACCAGAGTGTCTTATGTATCGATTGGTGTAGTTTGACCCAAGCCTAACGTAGTTCTATTCAGAGCTATCAATACGGTAGTGATTAGCTGCATCGAGGAGTGTATTAAGACTATGGTGGATCGACAAAGGATTCATCACTCCAGGGTATGTGAGAAGTTATCTCACTACAAGATTCAGTAAATGACAATGATACTAAATCTGTGGCCACAGTGGGATTGAGTTGTTGCTCAATCCAATTTATTAATTCGGTCATTAGTCCAGTAACTAAATACAAAGATATCAAGAATAACTGAGGTTGACACTATTTCTTTACCTCAGCCTTGATGAGATAACGTATGATGAAAATATTTGATTGCACGGTAACCATATCGTTGATAAGTAGCTATTTCGCTGAATCCAAATCTATCGGGTGACCATGATGACTTGCTAGGTGCCAATCTTGGACTGTGAGTAGTGAGACAATTAATTAGTGTTAATCGTGATAGTACTCACTGCCGATATGATAAGGAGCCTACGGTTCACACACTTAGAAGATAATTTAAGAATCAAGTTGTGAAAGGGGTATTTTCGTCTTTTAGGACGAAATGGTATTTTGATAATCTCACCGTGTAATTAAATTTGCTGAGGTTGTTGTTGTATTTAATTTTAATATTAAAATTAAAATTAGTGAGATTACATTTAAATATATGTGTGCATATATTTAAATGGGTTATTATTATTAATATATATATATATATATATAATAATTGATTTTAATTATAATAATAATTAATTAAAATTAAAATACCATAAAGGGTGTGTTTGGTTGTAAGGATGGATTAACTTGAGAATACGTGACTATTCCTATTGGGATCAAAGTTTTAATTAAGTGATTAAGACATAATAGAGAATTTTTATTCATTCATTGAATAAAACAAAACCCTAGCCACCTTCACTCTCCCTCTCACGTTTCCATAGAGAAAATCAAATAACAACTCATTTGACAATGTCAATTCCTCGATCGAACATCTTGCCTTTATTTTATGACAATTCATGGATCTTTGACCTGTAAACAACAACAAAAAGATAAATAAATAAAAAATCATCGATTAACAAAATCATGAAGAACAAACATGTTATGGACACAAACTAACATGAACTATAAACATTTTTTGGAAATAATATTTTGTAAACGAAAACAATGACACGTATTTGTTATTGTTTTTTTCTTTTTTATGAATATGAATTGTTGTAGTAAAGTAAATAATGAAAATATAAATAAACTATTTAAGTTTTATATGTGATTTTATTTTTGTTTTTTTTTTTAATTTTAAAAAATGGTAAATAAACAAGTGTTAACATTTCCCCCAAAACAAAAATGTGGAGAATAAAAACAAAAGGAAAACGAAAAAGATAATGAATTTATCTAGTTATTAAGGTTAAAATGTCTTCATTTATGAATTCATTTTGTGTTTTTTAAAAATATTAAAAATGAATGATTTACATAGAATGAAAATTATGCTACGTATGTTTGTCATAAAACCGTATTTTGAAATTGTAAAAATGAGAACTCAAACAACATATGTTGTCTAAAAATGATATTTTAAAATTTTATTATAATATGTTTATTTAAAATCACATTTGACAACATTACATAGATGTACATAAAGCAATAGAATAAAATACGGTGTAAATCCAATAAAAAAAAAAAAAAAAAGTCATGTGTAAGAGATCAATCAAGGTTTCAGTTTCATGTAAGTTTTGTTTAAGAAATAGAAAATGTTTACCGATAGAAGATGACATTTTGTCTTATCTACAAAACAAATTTGATGAGTTTTCTTTGTTTTAAGAGAAAAAAAAAAAAAAAAGTAAAGTATGAAAAACGAAAGCATAAACACATAGGGTAGGGTATCTATGATCAATTACCTTCTTATGTTGCTTAAATATCACCTAATTATAATTTTAAAGAAAAATATAAGAGGCTTTTTGGAATATAACCCTCTTGTATGAAATAGTTACATTATATTTCATATAATGTAAGATTTTCTATAAGGAATAAAATATAAACCATAATCTTATGACACATCACTAAAGGTGAGTATGGGTAACAGGTAGACCTGGAATCGGCCCACACAAGGTCGGTTTCGGTTTCTAATTTGGTGGAATCGGCCCTTTGTGGGTCCAAGTCTAATTTCAGCACTTCAAGAATCGAACTCAAAATTGGGTGGTCAGGGTGGAACCGACGGATACCCAGGGAGTATTTGTAATTTTTATAAATTATTGGGGATGTATTTGTAATTTTAAGGGGTATATTTGTCATTTTTTAGAATATTAGGGGGTATAGATATTTGTGAATTGACACAGCACGAAGAAAGCAATTTGCTCATAGATGATTGGTGTAAGACTTATTTGGTAAGGTAAAAGTTGTAATGTGGCTAGTTTATGATGTTTTTATTTTTATTTTTTTTAAATGTCATAATACCCTTTATTCGAAAATATTTATAATTCAAAAAACAAATTTAGATGAAAGTAATAAATAGTGAAAGAAAAGAAAAAATTGAAGAGAGTGATAGTGTTCCAAAGCATCTAAAAACACCAAGATTGTTATAAGACAATCTAGTGGTCAGAGTAAGGTGACATTTTGAAGTTTAAGATGAAAATCACCAATTCCAGAATTGTCTTATGATAATCTCCTTCTTTCTCAAAAATGCTATCAAACTCGATACAAAAACTATCTACACATTGTTGGTTTTTTTATTTTAGACATTTCTATTTTGGTGCATGATGATCAATAGCCCCTTTATTTTATATCATTTTTTACACATATTTCTAACAATTAGATTAAAAGCATACTACACTTTTATTAAGAAATGTAAGCAATTATTTACTCGTTTTCTTCTCTTTCATCTATTCTCTCTCCTTGCTGCTTATTATTGTTTTTTTCTGCTCTCCAAATTAGTCGATAGATTAAACAAGTTCTAGTGATGAAACCAATTAAATTAGAATTAAACAATAAAAGAAAGACAACATCCAAATTAATTTTTATGTACTGATAATGGGAAATTATTATATCAATTAGCCCTAACTGGAGCTGAATTGAAAAGTAACCTAATTCAGGATGTCAAGCAGAAAATAGCCCTTCCATAATTTCTATGACAAAAATCTATATATATATAGCAACTTGAACTCCAAAACAATAACCCTGTTCTCTATCATCTTCACAAACTCGAAACGATCAATCTCATTTTTCTAAACTGACCCAAGTTATTTCCCAACTGGGTCAAGC